TAATAAAATTTCTACTTATGGTGGAGATTTATTTGATGGTAATGGGAATCGTGTAAACTAAATGTGTTTTAACATATCTCTCACCATGAGACGTTTACATTACCGGATGTTTTTTTATTGAACAAAATTCAATTTCATTAGTAAATAGTATATTTAAAAATGCTGTATATAAAGAAGCTATAGAATCCTAATTAACTGTCTTGCTTGCATAACTGAGACGTTATTTCAATGACGTTTTAAATTTCAATCTCACTGTGTGGCATGTCGTTACGAACTTCAAGTTAATACGGCCCACTTACCTAATTAAAGTTGCTTGATAAGATTGCGATGTATGTACTAACAGACACTATTTAAGTGTTTTATTTCCTCTATCATGTTGAAGTATATTTATTAATATTATCAACTATTAATATTAACAAACTGACAACGAGATTACTAAGGTAATATAATGCCCAGTAAATTGATTTTTACTAAGACATTCTGGGTCAACGTTTTTTTGCAAGATAAACGTTGGAAAACAAAATATAAATCAGCAACATGTGCGAACCATAGGGATTGGGAACAAAGAAAAAAAATGCTCAAGAGATTCGGACAAATTCGCTTCATTTATCCACTTGACAAGAATGCCGACATATGGCTCCATGGGAAGATTGGTGCGCTGATATTACCACGACGCAAAAGTTTAATGACCAAAGCTTAAAAATAAATAATTTGATAATTTACGGTACCTAAGCAAGCAGTAGATAAATGTTTGAGGGAGAGAAATTTTGAGGCTGTAAAGTCAAGTACGTATGAAAAATCAATAACATCGTTACTTCAAAAATTACTAGACCTAACGCGATAATGTACAATTTCACATTTACATCCAGACAACTATTTTGTAATCAGTATTCGTGTGGGTAAGCTCATACATATAATAAACTTTATAAAGATGTAAGTAAGAATGGTATGTCATTTTTCTGAGAACCGGTTGATAGGCGATATCCATACAGAACGTAGCACAATGGAGATTTGAAGGCGGGCGGTGGCTGGCATGCGGCGTGCCCGGCCACGCCACGCCGCGCCACAACGGAACCATTGTTTACGATTTTAGAATTCCGACCGGTTTAGCGAATTTGAAGCAATAAAACATTCACGGAATCTTGAGTAAAAAATAAACCTCTAACATGCAATCATCATAATGAACGTGGTTTTGTGATACCAAAATGTTTATAAGATGTGAAGACTAAGGACCTTTTTCCTTGTTCCCCGTAATACGTCATGCGTAGACGTTGTAACTTGTAGTAGATGAAAATATAATAAAATATTCAGCTCTTGAAATAGGCTCTTTGTTCAGGATTTCAATATTTTACTATGTGTTCTGACTAAGACATAGTGATCTAGATGTCTATAACTTATTATCGTTTCGCCGAAGTGCAAACAAACCGTTTACCACTCATTAACTCAAGCTCGCGACCTTTTAAATTGAGTAATCGTAGGCGCAGGCGGCCAATCATGCGCAAACATTTGCCCAAACTACTCCAACACAACTTGTGCAATGAGTACTGCATATGGGCAAACACGAACGGAATTTCGCATTTAACTGAATCATAAATAATACTACTGGCAATTAGCTAGCAGGAAAATACTAGTTCGCACCGTCATATTTAAACATTAATAGTATGGAAGAAAAAAAAACACTGGATAAGGAGAAGGGAAAAAGAACTGAAAGTGTGAGACCTGTGGTGTTGGCATACTCTGGCATCGAAGGCCAACAATCACATGGGGTCACAGCGCTACAGAAGCAAGTAAAAAGATTATATTGTATGGTATCCTTATCACCTTCTAAAGAACGCGAGAAATTTTTGTGAGATCAGTTATATTTCTTGAATATCAAGATTGGCAAGCTAATTTTCGAAAGCTTCATAAATATAATGGTTTTGTAGACTACCAGTTGGCTGTATTAAAATAAACTTTTGGACTTATTAACAAAGTGCTTCAAGAAATAGCCGCAATCGGTAGATCACGTAATTTGAAGGGCCAATAACCGTTCGAGGCCACCTTAAATCATTAATATTTCAGGGACATGATTCGATATAATTGAGTTGATCTGATATATTTATGTAATTTGTATGTTATAGTGAAGCCTCATATCTGGCATATTTGCGCTATTGGCCAGTTGCGATGGTGTCGTAAAGGTGGTGGCAAGGTCGACGGCTTCCTACATGGCAGCGAATGGCATTCGTAGCCCCTGTCTCAGCACTGCAGGTGAATGGGAACATCTAGTTTATTTGGCTTTATTATTCGATAAAAATTTATTGAATTAAATTTGCAATAAAGCAAATTTAGTGTACTTTTTTATGCTATTCACACATACGATTTGGTAAGCGTATACCTGACCATCAACTTGGATTATGTTGTTTACTGCAGAATTCATAACAAAGCTTAGCATGTATACCATACACGTGATCTCTCGGGGCTTGGTTTTATTATTTATTTTAAAACATATAATAATAATTACATAATAACACACAATTGGACTGCTATGATGTTTTATTTAGGTACCAAACACAGCAATCTAGGGAAAGTATGACATTTTGTTTTGAAATTCAAGCGATTCGAGCGTGAATCTAGTTTGACCGCATCGCCCAAGCACCGCTAATGCATGTTGTCTATTCAGAATTGATACATTGCCGCGAAAGTGGTTCTTGCCCGGCTTAAGTCGTGCATTCCACAGCAAAAAGATCATTTTATGCGCAAAAACATAATGCCTTTTGAGATTAACCATTATTGACTTACCTAGTTCAGCACATAATTATGCAGTGAGGTAAATACAATTACAATTATTATTAAATTGAATGTACAGTAAATGCATGTGTGCACTTTGTCAGATAGTCAACTATTTACTACGACAATATGTTTCCGGATTACAAATTGACAACAAAAGCCAGGTTTTCAATAGAAACTCGAAAAACGGCGCGAAAACTGGATAGTTTTGTTTGTGCTGGGATTAGTACTGACCTGTCCGGTGGCTTTCTTGTAGCGATGTGTGGCTTCCCGTACAAGGTCCCTGACGAGTAGGTCTCCGGCGCCGCAGGGCACCAGCACCCGCACGGATCCAAAACACACCGTCACCTTCATATTCATACTACACATACTATGATTCACCGAGAACACCGCGCCTCGCACTTCATCACGCACCGACACAAACACAATTCAACACGGACAATTAGTTTGATTAAAAAACTTATAGCACATCACTCACTACCTGAAGCACATGGAGGTGGCCCTACGTCGTACAGTTGGTCACGAAGAACCGTTGAAACAAAAAGGACAATAGCCCAAGTTGGATCGTGTGTTTTCATAGCGATGCCGTCGTGGTCCTTGCTGTTTATCATACACTCACTCGTTTCATATTCAAATATTACACATTTATAGAAGATTTCATTCAGTATTAAAAGTGATAAGATTACGCGAGAGTTGAATATCGCGGCGCGCAACTAAACGGCATCAACGGCCGTTGCAAGAGACATGAATAAGAATTCGTTTGGTATTAGCGTGAGCGTGGCGGGGACGGGCGAGGGGGGGCGAGCGGCGCGACCGGTTCCCGCCGGTAGCCAATGGGCGGCGGCGGTGCGGCGCGGCGGCGGCGGGCAGCTGTGAGCCGTGGTGTTGTGGCCGCGTCATACCTGCCTGTCTCACCTCACTCATGTCCCGTAACTATTTCCCTAAGTTCCATATAGTTTTTATTTTAAACATAATCGACAACAAACTTAAGATAAACTAAAATTTTTATTTCGTTTTTTGTAATCTACTATTACCTACATTATTCAACTGACATATTTTAAATTTATTTTTTTCAGGGTATTTTAAAAACGTATTTGTTTCGATGCTTGATAACATTACAAGAAATATCTCTTTCATTTTTATCGAAACTTTGAGCACGTATCCAACGAGTTAGGTCTCATAGATTGTTGCATATTTTAAGGTAGTATTTGACGATTAGTATGCGGAAGACACGCTCGAGCCGGGATCTTTGTACATGACTGGTGAACGTTATGAGCATCGTCATACCAATATATGATTTAAGCTCCATAAGTATCTTAAGGTTTTATAGAAATAAGTTTATTTATGTATTTTGAACTTGCAGTTGACAAGTGAATAATTCGTAAATACGATTTTATCGCATTGTATTCATGTAATAATAATTTTTTATTAACCTCTAAAACAAAAATTACTCCTTTTTTGGTAAGGTAAATAAAATAATGAGTTCATGTTTTAAATTTTAATGTAATTAATATTGCTCAATTGAATTTAAATAAATAAAAAATACAGAATAGGTCATAATTCTTAATGTATTGTTACAAGGGTATTTACAATATCATTATAACGAAATAAGATTGGTGTATTTAGGTACTTGCATTGCTATTTATATGCTATATAAGATAATAATTCAAAAACCCTCTACTTATTTATAATACGTATTTACATAAGAACACAGTATAATCTTGTGGTTAAATTTTTACTTTTAACAAAACTTTTTTATCAATTTTAACATTACTTTTGGTATAATTTCTACATTCTACAGAATTTCTTGAATACAATAATGCCAAAATATATAAATGTAATTCAGTAGCTACATTAAGCTTTTCATAAAGCCTAGCTTGTGTTTGGCACAATATATAAATATTATAAAAAATATTAAAAACAATCAACATGATACGAAATTAGATTCATCCAAAAATAACCACTGTTTTAAACGAGGTATAAACAAATATGCAATAGCGTTTGAAAGGTTAACGATATTTACACAGATTAACAAATTGTAGATGTGACAGGAGCGCACGTCAGTGCAACAACTTACAAATTAATCAGTCCAGTACTACAGCACAACTTGTCCTCCACTCCATCGTAAGTTAAAGATGAACACATCCCCTTTTGAATTTATAAATTGTAAATAACCCTCCCGCAACCAACTATACAGTTCATGGAAACCTGTTTAACCGGAGTTAAGCTGAAGTTAGGTTAGAAATGTCAAATAACATTCTTAGTTTTACTAAAATAATTTGAAGTTAGACTAAAGTTAACGGTTTAGTAATTGCTGTCGGTAATAGTATAACATCATCTTTTGACAAAATTAGCGTAACTTATTGCCAACTTCACACAATCAAATTATCGAGTTATGTACGATACTATATTTTGTTTAATTTGAATTATGGCCAACTTCACCCCGGTTATTTAAAATAGCGAATATTATAAGAAATACATTAAAAAGTTGTGAAAATCAATTTGCTTAACATCATAAGACCTCACACGAGTATACTATAAGTTTATTTATCAAATACATTAAATAGAGGCTAGTTGAAAGGCACCGAACGCCTGTTAATAATGAACCACTATTTATATATTAACTATACTCTCAATACCAAGGCAAAAATTATGTAAACAATACTGTATCGACATGAATTACAATAACTACGTCCATTTTGTGTTTCGCGATTAACGCATTGATTCAAGTTGAGTCATACACAGCAATGGAAACAATAGCATTAAGTACGCTCGCCCTAAATCTATAACAGTATCCCCGAGTCAAATCAGAAGCGAAAATTATTTAAAATCAATTACTGCTTACATCTATTATAAGAAATTGACAATTGATTATTATTAAAATTTGTATTCCATCGTGGAGAATATTCTACAACAAATATTCACTAAATGGTATTTATTTTTTGGTTGTACTATTGTCCAGTTTTTTTATTATATTCTTTACCTACAACCGACCGATATGTGGCACTGTACTATGTTAAATTAAACTGTAACACTAAAATATAAATATCGTATGGCTAAAACGTAAAATATGTCGAGAGCTTTTTAAAATACAGAAAATATCGTTTATATTATGAGGTATTACTTTGGTCACATAATTTGTGACTTAATTGTAATAATTGTAACGATAAAGTAAATTTTATTTTTAATAATGGCACGATGACGTCATCAAGGAATATAGTGCAGAAAATAAGAGATGATGTGACTAGAAGAAAATAATGGAGTAGTTAATGTCAACGGGGAAATAAGTGAATTAATCATATCATCGTATTATAATAATTGTTATGAAATAATTCTTCAGGAACGAATATTAAATCGAAATTATTTTGTGCTACTGCGTATCTTTAGATTGATATAAATAATATAGTCTACGTCATGTCAGATAAGAAACAAGGATACAAGTTTTTAATAACCTCACTTTTTAAAAGTTAATGTAAATAATCAATTAAACTTATTTGGATATATGGTAACCACTAATCTATTATGTATTGAAATGCAAAATCCTTATAACATTATGTACTATTCACAATACATTATATATTATAGTTGAAACGATACATTGTACAGGTGAGGGGCCAGCCCTAATATACACTGACTCACAGATATTGGTCGCTAGAAAACTCCCTACAACATTATCACAAGATAAACGACGAATAATTCTAATTGAGAGCACCTTACAATTGTAGAGATCATGCGTACCGTAACTCTGGGAGCCGTCTCACGGCGACTGTACACCAATATACAGCCTAACATAACTACATACATATTGACAATTTACACGTAATACATTACTTTGTTGTAAGGCAAAAAGGGAAATAAATGTCATATTCGATTTTAAATATCACTAATGTTAAACTGTGCACTTTTTACAGCACCAAAGATTAAAATACATACAAGATCGGACATGAAAATATCTTCATAATCTTCTTATTGATCGATTAAAAATTCAGATCTCTTCCAGTAAATATGTATTTAAATCTTTGGCATTGACACGCAACTCGATGAAATTCAAACAAATCGATTTGTAACAATAAATTTTGAGTATTTTCTGTTAGAGAGCCAAACAGAACGCTTCATTATGTATCTTTGGATCCTTTATATCGCCTTCGATATCACAACACATCACGAAGCAACCATTGATAAAGTACAAGTTTGTCTAAAAATATCGGAAGCAATAAGCATGCCACTGCCAAGAGCGTTCACTAAACATCACTCTCGCCGTCAGTAACGTGTGCAGGTTGGCCGAAGTTCCTCGTTATAGATTCGCTGACGGTGCGTATGTTCGCCAAGTACCTGTGCGCGGGCTCATCCGAGTCGTATATCGCGCTGAGGCTCTCGAGGGAGACGAGCGCCTCGGAGTCGAGGAGGCGGGAGGAAGCGCGGGAGGAGACGTCGTCGTCGCGGTCGAAGTAGCAGGAGTTGACGTCGCTGAGGGCCGCCTCTGCATCCGTGAGGCCAGCCTCGTTCAGCATGGATACGTTCTCCAGCGCGGGGTCGTCGGTGGTGTAGCCCGTGCTCTCCGGCTGCCCGCACTCCCCCTCGCCCTCCCCGTCGCCCTCGCCATCCGAGCACGACGAGCTCCACTCCGACTGACTCTCCCCGTACAGATTCATCTCTCTGTGATTCGAAGTCGTAACCTATTTCAAAAGAAATATAAGTTTTAAAAGTGGATTATTTATGTCGTATTATGTTATCGTGGAGTGATTACGAACCCGGTTATGTAGTCGCTCGTGAGCGTCGTTTTCGTGTTTTTCTTTGGTACTGCTATCGATTTTTCTATCGAAGGTGCCGCTGTTAAAAACAAACAAAATATAATGCAGACATCTCAAGAGCTAACTGTTGCCGTGGACTTGCAAAAGATGTATGTAAAAGTACACAAAATGAATAGTTGTGTATGTTGTCTCACCCGGGCGTGTTGTCGCGCGAGGGCAGACACACGACGACGTCAGTGGGCAGAACGCCGGGGAAGTCAGTGTGGGCATGGGTGTGGGCGTGCGTGGGCGCGGGCGGGGGCGGGTGCGTGGGCGCGGGGCTGGGCTCGCGGCGCGCCAACTGCGCGATGGCGGCCAGTCCAACCGCGTGCAGCGGGCTGCTGTTGTTGTTGGCGCTGCGCCCCACTTCCAGCGACGAGTTCTGACTCCTAATGAGGTGAAATTACCTTTTAAAATTATTTTTAAACTAACATTTTATTTATTTATGATGAACATAACTAATTTTTAAGTTTCTTTTTGCATTTTTACTTTCTTACCTAAGTTCAAGGTTCAGATCCTTTCTTTCATTTTTAGGAGGATTGTTCATAATAATATTCTTATCGTCTAGAAGCCTCTGTATCTCTCTCTCGAAGGGCGGCACGCAGGCGACGTCGGAGGGGCTGCGTTTGCTGAACACCTCCCTGCCGTCGTGGTTCAGGTGCTTCAAGTTGGTCGGCCGACTGCCGGAGCTGGAGAAGGAGTTGGTCCTCGGCGCCAGGCGACTCGATACGTCCTTTTTGTCGGTCTGACTGCAGCTGTCTCGTTTCGCAGATGTCTGGAGCATGTTCAAGATGCTCCGATGCAACTTTTCCTCCTCCTTTTGATAGCCGATGTCGTCGAGAATCTTGTCCTCCAGGACCGGTTTGTTCGAGAGTTTATGTTTCGCGTATAATTCGTTAATAACATTAGCGGTGGGTTTATTGGTGCGGAGGACGGGGTAGTCGTAGGCGGAGGTGATGTCGTTGCGGGAGGGGCGCGCGGGAGGCAGCCAGGCGGCGGGGCGCGGCGGGGAGGGCGAGGCGTCGGTGGTGCGTGAGTAGCTCTCGTCGGAGGAGCTGAGGCTGGGCGAGCGAGTGAGGGAGCTGAGCTCGTCTGCGGACGAGTGGACTCGAGGACTCCGCGCTAGGGGCAAGCTCTCGCTCGACCGCGGCCTCGGCAGTCTCGTGGGCGGCCTCCTCTTGTGCACCACCGGGGGCCTCGGCTCCTGTGGCCGCGGCCACGGCGGCACGAGGGCCCGCGGCGGCGGCCATCTGGGGTTGGCGGAGATCCCGTGGGGCGGAGGCGGGGGCGGGTTGTCGTCTTGATCCTTGTTTCGACGTCCCTTCGTCCCTTTATGGTTGTTTCCATTTTGTTGTCCATTAGGAGGCAGGAGAGGCTCGTTTTCGCCCGAGCCCGTGGACTCCCGCAGCGGCGGCAGCCTGGAGGGTTGTGCGGCGGCACGCCTCGCGGAGTTCTGCAGCATGGCGAGCGGAGTGGCGACGCCGCCGTACGCCGACGGCGGGTTCTGAGGTTGACCGTTGGAATTGTTCTGACCGCCGCCGTTGTCTAGCGTTCGGTCCGTTAAAAAGTAAGTCGTCATTTCGCCCTTGCCTTTCACTTTAACTTTCCCTCGACAGACGAACTGATAGGGCATGTCCTTCAGCACTTGGTAGACTTCTTCTGTGACCTGCGTGTGGTTGGGCAGGCCGGTGGAATCCATCCGTGAAGCTACATTGACGGTGTTGCCCCAAATGTCGTACTGTGGTTTTCGCGCGCCTATAACTCCAGCGACGACAGGTCCGACGTTTATTCCTGTGTAAGAATTAAAAAAGTGTAAAATACATAAAAAGTTAAGAATTAAACTTATAGATTTAAATACATATTTGTATATAAGTTGAAACTGACCAACGCGCAGCATGAAGTTGTTGTAAGAGTTGTCGTTGATATCTTTCAACTTGTCTCGCATCGCAAACACAAATTCGACAAGAGTGGCCATGTGTTTCCTGGTGCTGGGATCGTCCGTCATCTTCTTGTCAGGGATGAGGCCGACGGCTGCCATGTACGTCGATCCAACTGTTTTGATTTTATCTATTGGACTGAAACGGTCTTCACCTAAGAGCTGAAAGAAATTAATTTAAATTAATGAATTTTCAAACAACAAGCCAACAAAACAACGTCCATTCTCCATCCGTTGATTCTTAAAACTAGTAATTCTTAGTAGTTACCTCATCAAAATCGGCAATGATTTCATTGAGCAGCCGCAGACACTCCATGCCCTGGTTGTTTCCGTCCAACTCCATGTAGAACTCGTGGTAGTTGGTGATGGAGGCGAAAACAACGCCCACGCGCTGGTACGACTGGTGGTACAGGTCCTGCCAACCATGCGTCTTGTCACCCCCCACACGTCAGGACTAAGTGACAATCTTCCTACTACTATATCTATATTTTTTTTGTACAGTGTTTCTATTATTTCAAGTTTGTTGTTTTTTTACACATATTAAAATAAATAGTTATCTTTGGAAACTTTATGTTTGTAGTTACTATAAAAATAACTAACGATCTATATAATTATGTTTAAACATGTGTTTAAATCTAACGACGTTTTCTGTTAATAAATTATTGTTTCTTTGAATATTTAAAAATTGTCACTTGCTCCTTTTGGTGTGTATAGTGCAAGGTAAAGCAAGCATGAATGATGAAATGAATGGATTTGAATGAAAAGTAGCGATTAGCGTGAATATGAGTCAAATGTACGTGCGCAGTTAAATAAGTTACATAATATACAGACTTTTCACCAATGCCGATATCAGAAACTATATGTAATGCAGTTAGAAAAAAGAGATGGGAGAGAGGTTTTGCAAAGACTTTATGAAATACTTACCATGTTAGTTCTGAACTGGTTGTCTAAGAAATGCGTGGCCACGTGCGCGGGCAGCAAGTTGAACAATATCCTCTTGTTGGACGCCTACAACAAAGTTTATCATCTCACTCACTCTACGTAAATAAACAGAGACAGCTGTATACTTCTGTGGAGATGCGTCAGTGGAAGGGGAGGGATACCTGTAGCGCGTCCATGTCTCGTTTCTCGTCTCTCGCTTGCGCCTGCCAGAGGAAGTCGAGGCGTGCGGTCCACTCTGTCTGTCGCGCGTGCAGCAACACTCCCACTGCCAGCAGCAACGACCACAGGCACATCGACCACGCTGACCCCACCACGCCCACACTATACAGACAAACGAAGCTGACCACATAATATAAAGTATATTTATTTATTACCAAAAACTGGAAGAAGGAAGCGGTTTGATGATTGCTATTTTCTAGAAAAAAGTCGAGATAAATCGAAGTGTCGAACTTTATTTTTACTAATAAAAGTTTTTCCTAGAGTTTCGAAACGGAACACTGCGAATACATAAGTATAAAACTGTTTTGATGCTTACTCCGTCATCATATCGTAGCAATCAAAGAGGTCTTTGTGATAGGCAAGTATGACGGAGACGTAGCCGGCTGTGATGACAGCCAACAGTATGCCCTTGATGAGTATCGGCAGGCGGAGGAAGACGGCAACTGTGAGGACAGCGAGACAGCAACCCAGTGCGATGTACAGCGGTACTGGACAGGCGCGGTGGTCTCCCGCTGACCACAGCGCGGCTGCTAGACCTCCGCGCAGTTCACGGATCTCTGACATTGTTGTTACATTCTCGGTTAAGTTCCGACACACGTCGATCTCACGGCATGTCACCTGGAAAATACATAAACATTATAAATATACAAGTATTACTAAACTGAAAAAATTATCGCAAGTATCCATTTACCACATTAACTTGTCCAACAGCATAACCCAGAACAATCGTAAAGGTCGTAATCGCGTTCCTGAGAGCGAATGGTCGAGATACATCGCAGGGTATTAGCCTCAGTCGCGCCGCCAGGGTGAGAGCCAGCACTGCAGCTGACCACGCAAAGGCGGTGACAAAGAGCAGCAGCAGGATGGTGGTGCGCGGTAATATGGCCGCTTGCAACACGCCGCCCGCCGCCAGAGCGCACAGCGCCGCCCCTAAAGACCCCGCCCATCCACCGTCTGTTGACGCCCGATACTGAAATTCAACCAGAAAACCATACGTAAAACATAATTTTTCTATAACGTAAGTTAAAAGGGTACATGTGATAAGTGATAATTTTTGAAATACTATCATAAACTTGTTGCCGGGATTGTATCCTGATTGTTTCGGATGAGTGGTGGATAAGTTAGGTTACCTGTGCCTCTTTCTCTGCGTCCTTGAAGCAGAGCGTGAGGAGGTGAACATGTGTGGCCTTCTCGCGGTGCACGGAGCGCGCGTCTATCGCCTGCGCGAGGTACTTGTTGACGCGGTTGGTCGGCTGATGGTACACAGATGAGTGCCGCTTTTTCAATGGACGCTTGAACTTCTCTGTCACTTTATTCTGTTAAATCATATCAAATCGGTCAAACTAATGAAATCTTTATATTTTTATTGTTGCTAATTTATTATGGGTACATCGATTAGGTATAGGGAGAAACATATATCGGGATAGTAACAATGTGAAGTCATTAAGAGAGGTATTTGTAGGTAGGTACATAGACACTGGGTACACGTTGGGTCACCGCATGCCGTCATGCTCAATTCAGTTTTGAAACTGACCTTAGAATGGAAAAGTTCCAGAGTCCGAAGCAGCATCGCATTATTAAAATAGCAATAGAACAAAATATGAACAGAAAAGAGACATAAATTGTAAATAGAAACATTTGAAAATCTTGAAACATATATCGTTTAGGATATATAGCTGTTTCTGTTACCCATAATAGACTTACTGAAATTTATTTCTTTTTAATTATTTTTTTAAGATTATTGTTATGACTTCTTAAAGATTTTTTTTTAAATAGACACAAATATCTGTATAAATTTATAATATTTAACTAAATACTAAAAAAAGCATAATTAGAGTTAAAAATCAATCAAGCATAAAACTATGTTATATATAATAATTGTTATATTTATAGGATCACATGCAAGTTAGGCGAGGATCATGCCATGCTGTGCGCGAGGTGGCGTAGGGCAGCGAGTGAAACTCATTTTGGTGCGTTCAATTTTATTCTCAATCAAAATTCAATAAAAAAAACAATCTTAAGAAAATTACAGTATCACAATTCGAAAGCGAATTAGTCAAAGAGAGACAGAGAGAGTGATAGTGTATAGTTGAATACTCGCGTCGCTCTGACACTGTCCTCAACACGATCAATGGAACTGTATTGGAAGAAGAGAGGTGCGGAGGTCGGCGTCGGCCGCCGCCTGCGTGTGGTCATACACAACATCGAGTACCTATCGCACGAGGGCGCCACTGCGGTCGCCCGGTCAACGGGGGAGAACAATAATACACAACAACATCTTTCTTTTTGTCTGCGCTTACTGTTTCATCGGGCATTTGTTGTGGAACTAAAGTCCAAGGTCGGATTATCTGAAAAACAACGAGCAGACATCGTATGTTAGTCGCCGGTGTTCTGCCGAGCGCGGGTTCATTATATCAAAGAAAAAAACACCAAGAGTTTTGTAAAGGTAGAGTTGGAATTACTTACGAAGGATTAAGCTTTTTTCGGTTTCGATCGGCATTGGAAAATATAAGATAACATTTGAATAAGCAATACGTTTATGATTTCACAGATACAGTAGTAAAAATGTGCTTAAACGGACCGGTTTTGAGGAGAGATTGGCAACTAGTATATGTCATAAAAGTGGGTTGTAAGTGTGGAAAAATGTGGGTGGTTCAACCGGTGAAAGACACTATGAAAGTCGTGTTAGGTGCAAAGCGGCGTGTGTGGAACACTCCTCTCGAAATTAATTGAGCAGTACTCGTGAGAAAGCCTCGGCGTAAATCGTCACCACAGATTTAGTTCATTTACCACTCGAAAATCATACTAACTACTAGAAAACCATGAAGCGAGGTTATCATTCGACAATCATATGAAAAGCATCGGAATTTTCGTTTCAATGCGTTTCATGTACAAGTTTCTTAAGCGAAAATCAAAACTGTGGGAGAAGTAGAAACGTGGCTTGTAGATTTATGTCCAGTAAACCATGTTCTAAGACCCCACAACCTACATTGAACTGTTTGTGTGCCGTGTCAGAGTCATCATACAGTTTGCATCTTCATGCACAGTGTACGCATCCGCGATAAACTATTTATCTTTGAATTAGAAGAATATGATATGATATCGATAGTAAATAAAAATCGCTTTGTCAGTCAGAGCTTTTTCATAAAAAACATAGATAAAACAACTGTTAAAATATTCGTGGTTTTTATTTAGCGCGGATGTGTAGGAGTAAGTGTTTTATTGTGTGTGTGTGCATGTGTGCGTGTGTTTATGTGTGTGTGGTGGGGTGCGACCGTGGGATGTGTGCGCAGGGCGTGGTGCTGCATGACGGCGTCGAAGGTGTGGTGGTGCGGGGCGGCGGCGGGTGGTGGAGCGGCGGGTGCGGGGGCAGCGGGCGCGGCTGGTGCGCTCACGTCGTCGCCGCGCAGCGCCGCCAGCCGCAGCGCCTCCGCGGACCCCGGCTCCGCGTGCAGCGCGCGCCGCAGGTCCAGCACCTGGCACAACCCCAACCCTGTACCCTCCTCCTACCACGCACGGCCCTGCCCTACCCTGTCATATCTGCCCTACCTGATGCCCTAACATACCACGCCATATAGCGACGACAGTAAACATAATAAAATCTTGACATTTCGTAATCTGTTTTCGCTACGTTTATTGTACTTATATTCAGCGGATTTGTATGTGAATTATTTATGTTGAGGTTTAATTTGTTACTGGTAACTGCCCATATAACATATGCCACCAAGTTACAATGAAACAACATGACACTAAGATAATATTTAGTCAAGATCTATATTAATATATCTACCGACTAGTATTAATAACTTATACGAATGCTAAATGGTAAATGCATTTACATTAATCATTCATCGTATACCATATTTAAATTAAAACTAATTTATTTCATTTTTATTCTAAATAAATTTAGTTAATGACGATTAAAAATATCATTTCAGAACAAAATAAATAAAATAAACTTACCTTGCGGTGAAAGTGATTTCCCATTTAAATATAAATCACTCGTGTAACAAAGAGCAAGATAAAGATTCGGACAAGGACTAAGCATCATGTAGTCGTGTCCAAAAGACTCGAAAAAACGTTAAGTGCAATAAAGAAAAATAAATATTTATAAATACATAGATAATGTGGAACAGGACGCGTTTCTTTGGTATTATTAGTACCTTCCTGGCGGCGTTTGCCTTCAGTTCTTGTGGCGAAGCGGCCATGTTGGAGAAGGGTACATCGACATTGAACTTGATGGAATGCAGCAGTTGCACTACAACGTTAGAGACGTTCTTGAAGGAGAGCTTGCGACGTGACCCCGAACCAAGGCCCACGCCCGCGGAAAGGCACATCTGAAACACGCGCACGTTTCTAAACTCCAGTTCAAAATATTACTCCCGTACTCAGAGTCTACACTTAGGTATTCCCTAAGTGACCAAAAAAATAAATACTTTTAAAGCAATAAAATTAATAGTTAAGACAATCTACTATAATATTGTCTTATATGGACTAACAATCAAAGATTGTTTACGTTTTATTCACAGCAAGGTAAACAATTTATAGATCTTTCACGACGACACCTAAAAATCGGCAGTTACACACAAACCGAATGTATTCAAATGAGATGTATATGAACGAACTTTTCGTCGTCTGGGCGGCGGTATAATGAAGTAGGTCTGCACGGAGTGGTCGCGCAGGTAGGCATTGCGAGTGCCACCGTGGCCAGGCTCCACCTCGTACGCGCCGCCGAGGCACTCCAGCGTCGCCTGCGTCACGTGCACACGTCTGCAAAACATTATGCACTACTTAACAATACGCTGTAAACGTATGAGATGAGACAAACTTAAAACGATGATTTCTGTCTCTGTTCCTACAAAGATTTACGAAAAAAATTTCAAAGCCAACTAGAATACCTACCTTACCGTAGGTTTCTAAGTCAAGCATCCCAGTTTGAAACACATTGTTATCTATATTTTGTCAAAGATGACAACGCTAATGACAAGTTTTAAAAGAGATTTTGATCGCAGAAACCAACGGTTAGCAGTAGTTATAACTTGCGGGATTAGAGAAATATGGCTTAAACCTTTTGCATTTAAAAATGTGAATATAACTTACAATTTATATTGTTAAAATGTATTTGATATTCATAATAATGCGGGAGCAGTGTCAGAGTGTCTGGTTGACATGAAGGGCCACAATAGCGGTCACAATAAATCACCACGTGCCTTGACATTATCAATGGCACTCGACTGCGGCGCGTTATCATTGATTCATAGTACATTGACATTTATACGTTATACCTAATTGATTTGAATCCATCACAAATAATTTATCATTTAAAGTCATATTACAATTTGTAACTAAAAAATACACTAAGCTTTATTTACCTATCATTAAAATAGAGAATTTTACGCACAACTTCCAACAGATAATTTGCGGGTTCTACCATAAGTCTGAAATACTTATATGTATTATCTAACACTGGCCATTGTTAGCCTAACAAATATCCTCACTTAACACAATTAGATTGAATTGTATTTAATAGATAAGTCACACGTAAATATATGTATAGACTTTACCCCGGTTCCCCGCCGGCTTCCATGTTGTTTGCAAGAGTAACATCATTGGACCAGACGTCGTACTGCCACTTACGCAGGCCGAGCACGCCGCACAACACGCGGCCTGTGTGTATACCTACACGCATGTTCAACTGCACATCCGTCGCCTCTACCACAGAACTGCAAAAATACTTATTGCTAAAACGACACGTAACAATCTCACTTGTTTAAAAATATAATTCATAAATGGTAAGTCAACCTTGACGACCATCTAATGACTTACAATGATCTCTTTGTGTCTATTCTGTGGTCTATGCGTATGTATCTTGTCTCATACTGAAATTAGTCAGTTTTATGAGCTTTCTACATTAAGTACTTCTAACTAGGCAACAATCAACCTTTAAATAAAAAAAAAACTGTAAAATTAATTATAAGCAGCATGAGATTGTATGTTAAAAGCTTTAACACCTTTTAATTCTCTTTGCACGTTCTAACCCGGTTTGCTATTAATGTACGAACAAAAGAATTCTGATAAAAGCATCTAGTTTAGATAGGAGATAAATGATTTACTAGAATAGATACTTGAGCCTACATTTCCTGGAGTATGAAGGAAAAATAATCACACTTAAACAAATGGTCGGTAAAATTTATTACTTTTATATTATTAACATTGTGCAAGTAAATCTTTCAAGATCGTTGATAACAACATTATAAGATGTATGACTTTAAACTTTCCAATATAGTTTGTTTTTGTAACGAATGCGTTATTAAATTGTAGAACACGTGTAAAAGCAGAAAAAGATTGATGTTTATTCCTTATAATTTAATTTTAAAATGCATTAGCTTCAAGATTTTAAAATAACGCAATAAAGAAAATATTAAGAATATCTGTGAGTCAAGCTAAAAATTGTTGTTGGACACATTCATGAATTGTCTGTGGTTGTCCATTATATATTTGACAGATGACAGGCTATTTGGCGCGCAAACATTAATAGTGGCAGTGTAAATATCAAAGAAGAAATTAGTTTTTTCTATTTCTCTGCTAGCTGGCAAAAATACGTTATGGATGTATATTAAGATGAGCAAAAGTAAAGGAACGTCAGTTAAAAGAAAATCGGAGCATTTTACGTTCAAATGATTTCATTATTATTATTAATTTTGTGTTATGAAAACTTAAGCCACAATATTTCTGGAATAGCATTTTTTTAAACTGGGAAACTTCATCATCAGCTCACTATACGTCCCCATCGAGGGGCTCGGAGAGGGTGATTAGGCCATAGTCAACCACGCTGGCCAAGTGCGGGTTGGTTGACTTCACACATATCTTTGAATTTCTTCTCAGATAGAAGCAGGTTGCATCACGATGTTTTCCTTCACCGTAAGAACGTCGGATAAATGTACATATGTAAATCGGAAATCGAAAAACATATTGGTACATGGCGGGATTCGAACTCAGGACCAGATTGCAAGTCAAGTAGTTAACCCATGAGCCACCGACGCAGAAGGAAGGACGGAAGGGAAACTTGGCAGAAATTTATTCTGAAAGTATTTAAAAATCTGTCTTAAAATGCAAAGTGCTGCCTTCGAGAGTGCGCTCAGTGCATTGCTTACTTAAAACATGTTTAAGGATTCCCTTTTGCCTTTATGCTGACAGTGTATTTTAAAAAGTCCTAAATGTCATACATTACTCGTGTTCCTTTCAATGCAGCTAGCCAGTCATACGTATCTGTTCATTTCCGCCGTTCAAATTATCAGATCGATATCAAGGATTGCATATTGTTTCCGGCCGTTAATATAATATATCGTTACATAAAACTAAGATTGAAAAGAGCTTGTCTAAATGTCAACTGCAAAGTTTGAAAATAAAATAACAGAAGTATTTTATTCAGAGTGCGTGTAAGTGTAGCCGTCCATCATTATTAGGAGTACCAAAGACACGTACACACTCAAGTTTTACGTATAAATAACTTATACGAATGTGTTAAAATAAATCAACATACACAGATTTTTGTATCGAAAATAAAGTCATGAAGAAAGCCGAATTACCGAAAAACAGCTACATTAGGATTGACATCGATCTTTATATTTTGCCTCCTTTGTTTTATATGTGGCCTAGGGTGACATCATTATATTTGATGAAACACATTTTTTAAAAGGTTATTTTAAAATTTTAGTAAAATAACCGTTTTGGGTTACACCTACAACAAAAGTAATAACGAACAATAAATCCGAAAACATGACAACTACAATAACTAATTTAATGTTTTAAGACCATAAAGTTTAGTAACATTTTAAATAAAGTAGATCCTATTAAAATTATAAAAGAGATTTAAAGTTTGTCTAGTGTACAAGCAGGTTAAAAACTAATGGGCAATTAAAACTACGTAACTACGTCTTGTCTCCTATTAGCCGTCTTAAAATAACCAGAGTACATGCATGTTATGAGTGTGGTAGAGTCGGTCGTTGTTATAATTTATTGTTCACGTAGCGCATTAATTCCGCTCTAAATATTTTGTTGACTATGCGTCAGCGGCGTAACTTTTCACGCCCGTGAACCTTAGGGTGTGGTAAAGGGTAATCTAATAATCGAGTTCATATAACCCTTTCAGATAAAGGACTACTCTATAATGTTATTGTTAGAATTGTTCCACTTGACTTTCTAATAGAAAATATTTGAGGAAAAGTTGCGAATAGACTACGACAGAAATTGCTTTACTAATATATATTACGTACGATTGTATGGATGCATCAAGATGCACTCACATCTAGTTATCTATTCATTAGTAAAAGGAATAGTCGCACATATTTGTCTTAAGGTAACAAAGGTTTTAGTATATAAAATTTGTAACATAAATTGTAGACGGAGTCACAGACCCGTCAGATTCGTGTTTGTTTTAGATTAGTTTTGTTCAGCTCACGGCCTCCAGCTGTTGCCGGTCTATTGTCTGCAGCGGAGCTTCAACACGGTTTGCATCAAAACGTATGTAATGTCGCAAGATGTCTAGTCTATTTAACTAACGTTAATTAAGGCGAATCAAACAGTATTTTGCAAAAACGCCTACTGCTAGAAATATTTAGTCCTTTTATATACTTATGTGTTATATAGTATTATGTAGTTCAAAGGAAACTAAAAGGTCTTCATACGCTTAAACAAATCGCGTAATCTATCCGAAAAAAATCATTTATTTTTTCGTTTATTCTAACCTTACACAGGTTGATCCGTTTGTAATGAAGGCGATTTTATGTAGGAATCCGTTGTTAACGAGAGACTTAGAATGTTTTGTTTGATAAATATACTTTAAGATTGAAAAAGTCAGATAGTTCTAACTCATTATTTAACCAATATTGTTTATACAATTATGATTCGGTATACAAAAAATAATGAAATGAAATTGCTAAAATTCGAAAATATCTTTTTACCATTATGAAAATTGAGGCAATGAGCCAAATACATTATACGTCTAAAAGTTCAACACCTAGAACGTTTCCTAATTAGAATACTGTTCCAATTACAGAATAGTTGTAGGAATAAGTAGGCCGAATTTCCTTCAATGTTAAAAACTGAAGACCAAATAACAAAAATATATAAATATTAAACATCTATAAAAATATGATCGTAAATGATTCCTTACTTTATGATATTAGTTAACGTAAAGTTAACAATAACTTAAGACTTTGTAATTATATGTTTGATGTTTACCTGCTGTATGGATTAAATTAGTTGACTATTTTTTTTTTTATATCATAAGGTGGCAAACGAGCGAGCGGCCACCTTTAATCGACGGAGGAGAGGATGCACAGAAAGAAAATATTTTCCATTTCCATGCATCCTCTCATCCAGAAAGTCCACTTCCACTTTCCATTCTCTACTTATAAGAAAAAGGGTGGGATGAGAAACACGACTAAATTAGACCTCCGGGACGCAAACTATTATTACGTATAGAAATCTTACTTACTAATATTATAAATGGTAATGTTTAGATGGATGGATGGATGTTTCTTCGAAGGTATCTCCAGACCGTCTAACTAATCTCGCTGAAATTTGGCATTGTATAGGACATAGTCTGGAAGAACACAGTGGCTACTTATTAAGATTTTTTTTATTCGGACGGAGACGCGGGCGACTGTATATATATACATATATAGTCTTATTTATCTGTACAAAATTGTAGTACAATTTTGTATACTTAATCCTATCTTTGTTCGCAAACATTGTTAGCTCTATTTAACTAATAAATAATTCAGAGTAGTACCGCACGAGTTACATAACATAAATTGTATTAAGAACATGTATAAGTTTGTACAAGTTATTGTAGAGCAGTGCTGTGAACACAACAGATACTTCATAATATTTGCGGTCAGGATATGCTTGATACATCTGATCCAAGCGGCTTTATATTATTAAACTATGTCTATGTTATTAAATTATTCAAACTTTCGTGAGACATTATACTAAACTGATATATAAACACTCACGTGTATACGTCCGGTGGCGGCACCGACTAGTTTCGAGCCCATCGGAGGCCCTTCATCAGGATGAGTGGTACTGGTATTATTTCGCGGATTGCCGCCACCGGACGTATATACGTGAGTGTTTAGCCGTGTTTATATATCAGTTTAGTATGTCTATGTTATTAATTAGTAATACGGCTGAATGTATCGCACACTTTGGGACAGGAACAAAATTGACTAAAGTTCGCCTTGAACAAAACATTGCATTTTGTTTAGCTGTTTAATTATTTACTTAATGCTGTCTTACGAGATTTTCCGAATGTAAATATGGGTTATAAAACTAACTATAGCGTAGACATTATATTAGAAAAAAAACACATCTGTATGTGCTTTAAGTAAAAATATAGTTTAGATATCATGCCATTCTTTGAAATGTTCATAAACAATCAACCCAAGCTTGATACTTTTTTTACAACGTTCACCATCAAAAAAACTCTTTAATTGTTGTTTTAATTGTAGTACTTTTATAAATAATATTGCCCTACAAAAAATATCACAAACACTAAGACACTAAAAATGTGTCATAACAGCACACGTCTAAAATTTTATGATCTTGTTATAATTAACTGTTTAGTATAGCAATAAACGTGGTGACAAGTTCAATGTAGGTCGTTAACGTGGCCAAGGTCGGGGTAGAGATCCGAACACTATTACAAGAAGTAAACTATGTCTATGTACTTCCAGGAAACATAACCTTTTTGCTACTAGCTGGCATATTAAGAGCCTCACCTGACTTCGACAAAGGTTTGGTTCCAGTTAAACTTTACACGGTATTGTAACTGACACAATTAAATCGACATTAAGTTACTATTAAATGATTCTGAGTTATACATCGCAGATCATTTAAATTAAAAAAATGTTAGTTCCTTTCTGTTTGCATAAATTAGCCATTGTATAAAATGCACCTGTTTGCATCAAAAACTAGAGTCATAAAGAAACATAATCTTGCTTTTTTTTCTTTTATACGAACTGGGTAAGACCGCATGATAAATTCCTCGGGATATGTCAATAAAACCCGATATAATAAGGTCTGCCGCATTCCCGCAAATAGGAAACATCATCCGCGTGTCGGCGGCGCAAAGATGTAACAGTCTTGAGGTTTGTGGTTTGCGGCCACTTCATAAGTGTTGGTTGCCTACTGTTGTTTCATATATAAATTCAATATTTGTACAATACTTGTTTATATCAGCATATTTTTGTATTATACTATATTTTAAGTGATCAATATTTTAAAAGAAAAAAGAATCGCTACAATATTGTTTATTCACTCTAATAATTCTTGTAAAATAATCATAACAATGATCAATCAATCATCATCAATCAATCAAAGATCATCAATAATGAAGACTTGAGGGTTAGACCTAGAGTGGTGCTCTACTTTAACAGTCGATTGATTTTGTAAGGTCTGAAAAATCTGTCAGGTAACCCATTAAATTTTAAAACCAAGTCAACCAAGGATCAATAACATGAAATCTTATAAGAAATTTGAATGCATTCATAAGAAACACGTTGTATTTAATTTGTTTTCTTGTAATTCCTATCAGTGACCATAAATCAGACATAAAGTTGTCCAGGATATCGCATGTCCGTGACAATGAAACTATTGAACAGGACCTTTGCCTTTTGCCAACACATCACTGTCAACATACAGATAGCATATCGCGACATGCCTCACATATAGGGTTACCAGATCGCCAAACCTAATAGCCGGACAGACCAGTCAGTTTGGCCGAACTACCTACATTATTGTGCTCGGCCACTCTCGTTTGCAATCAGGACATCGTTTATTTTAGCCGGACTCGCTATCAAAAAACCTACGTATGTCCGGCTTTTTACGAATACCTGGTAACGCTACTCGCATGATACCATATATACTTAGGGCTGCTAACAATAACACCATTACTGACATGTGAACATCTTCACAGAAATTTAGTTTAGCATGCATACAATCGTTAATCTACTCAAAATGTCTACCGATGATTTTTTTATTGATTGCCAATAATCCAGAAGGAATCATATCAGTGTAACGCGAATAATACGAAATGAATCTTATATGTTTTTTTTTAAATAATGTTACGTTTTTAATAACTGTATTTGTTACCGTAAAAAGGAAAGTTTTAAAGCATATTAGCTATGCGTTTGCCAGCTGCAGTACGTTTGCTTAACCTTCGCCTTGTTAATGTCAGCCATCCATTGTCTCTACAACTGTTAGTTTTTCATAACGAAAATAAATAATACTTCATAACCTTGTATACAGTTAAACAAAGAAACTTTTAAATTCTATATTTTTTTGCGCTTTCTTGTGTTTTAGATGAAACTCAAAGTACTTATTTGCTATTTTTACTACATTTATAATTACTTTAAGATGTTATATCAATATTGAAACGTCTCTTTTCGATATTAATGAATTTTTGTATGCTATATAATTTAGTCCACTGTCGTAGTCGTGTCTTGTTTAACAGCTTTTACTTTGTTTACTATCCAACGAATTTGCAGCAAATGTTTAGATGAAATTTAATCTTTGTTACTTATTACTAGTAAAGAATGAAGCTTTTACGATGACTGTAGCTGAAAGTAGTAAGTAGGTGTGTACTCACGCGATGGCATCAATCATATCGAGGCCCATCTCGACAGTGCATCGCGCGTGGTCTGCGCGCGGTTCTGGCAGCCCGGACACGCAGTAGTAGCAGTCGCCGAGGATCTTAATGCGAAGACAGTGGTTGTCCTACACATATATATTACAAATATAATTCTTTGGACAACTAAAAAAACGCTTTTGTACATCAGCACACACACACAGCAAAGTTTATAATTAGTTTACTTCACCGATTTGATTATGGAATACGTACATTGGCAAGTTGGTCGAATCGTCCGAAGAGTTCGTTGAGCAGACGCACTAACTCCTGGGCGCTGCACTGCGATGCGAGTACCGTGAAGCCTACGATGTCCGCGAACAGAATGCTGCAACAATAAAGATTTCATCTTTATCACCCTCATGGGCAAATGGATTATTTCAATCAGACTAGTTTCTCGGACAACCCTAAATCGAACTAACAGGTAATCAAGTAACTGCTGAAAGCTGAAAGTTTCATTTCAGAAGGATTTGGTATTTGAAAAGTTACACGTTTAAAATCCAATGATAGCCACTGGAACAACAAGTTGTAATTAAAATTATCGACGTTTCCGAAGTGCACGGCTAATTACAATGGGAAACGTGTGCGGAACACGGAAGGATGCACCATACCACGCTCTGTGTCATTAGCGCCCGCGTTAGCGCAATTACGGGGCGCGCTCTAATTCTATTCAATTTTAGTTCAGTGGAACGTGGTTGCTGTTTTGTTAAGAAATAAAAAGAAAAAGAATAGTTCACAATCTATAGATAGTATAGTTAGAGGTCATATGTTTAGGTACACCATTATATAAAATAGCTTAACTAATTCGTAAAATTGTAAACGAATTAATTTGATAAACCACACCAAAGCGGTGATGTGCAGTACAAAATGTAATTCATTCAAAGATAGAATGCTTTTATTAGTGTTGTAAGTGCAGTGTTGTAGGTGCTGGAATGTTTATTGCAGGTGGCCATGTGCCCGCAGCTGCGTTACAAACAGACTATCCAATTAAAGAGGAGTACGGAACTGCGCTGCTTGCGCTGTTTACCCGACCACCGCGTTACACTCGCAAACGTGGCGTAAATTAACCACTCATTACCTACCGACAGACAAATCATTGTATAGTTTATTAACATTCAAGACCATCATACCGTATCACTTTTTTACGCTAAAGCTTCATACATTGATTTTTTTAATTTTCTTTTTAAATTGCAACAATTTTCATGAAAATATGAAATAGTATAATGGACACTCGGTGATTACAAATGACGTTTGATTCTTTCAAACTTTGGATTTTGAATTTACATTGGTTGTTCAGAGCCGCGTTTTCAAGAGTACAAATAGGCGTAATAATCGCAGACTTTCGAAAGAAGATGGTTTTGCAGCAGTAAATTCAAGAAATGAAATACGGTGGTCTGCTAACAAGCTCTTCTGTGCATTTAAACGTTAGTCAATTTCTAGGAACAATATAGAAACGGGTGTAAAGTGAATCACAAAGTGCAACTGATTGATCGCGATGTTTGGCCCGTTGCCAAGTGACGCGCGCTCCGCAAATAACAATAATTTGTTGGCCCCAAAGGTGTCAACTAAAAATTTGGATCCGTTTTTAACGACGTGTGGAGTTTAATCTATCAATATAAATTTGGATCTAAGCGTAATTTATAACTATAAAATAAATATACAGTCCATTAGGATGGTTTGCCTTTCAGTTTCAATTCGAACTAGCTAACTTTTTATATTTTTGACCACGATAAACATAAAATAATATTGAATTCATTTTTCTTTAACCGTAAAAAAAAGAAAAACGTTACGCAACTTAATACTGTTACATATTTACAACAAAACTTTCGTAAATGATTCTCTTATACTAATTCTATTAACACTAAGAAGTAGGTCAACATCCAGACAAAAAGTAATAAATGTCTGATTTCTTCATGGGATCAACATATAACGTCGAATTGTCTCATGTGTCGTACAAGATATTAACTTGGACAAAATCAGACATTTCTAGGTCAAATATTATGTTTGGTACGCCGAAATTTATATCTTAAGACGAGAATATTCTATGTAGTAAATGTTTTAAATACTCAATAGTTTTTTTTTCTTTTTCTAGATCGAGACAGTTAAGTAATTCTATAGCTTAACGCGTTTCAACTTCTACTCCACAATTTTTCATATATTATTCAAATTAAACAAAAACATAAGATAGTCAACAATACAAATTCGTCAAAATTTTAAATTGTCTATTTTTAATGTTTTTGACGTCATTCTGAAAGCAACGCAGCATATTAATTGATGTTATGAATATAAACAGTTGACATTTAATTCAGTACTTTAAAACGTGTACGAAATATTAATGATCCATTATTCTAACCATTCAAAGAACTATTATGTTCCACTCATCAAACGAGCATTGCATTATGCAAAATAATTCTTAAGGAGATAATGCTACTATCACAACCGTATTTTATTTAAAAAAAAGATAATCACAACACAAATCATTAAACCTGTAGTACTGTTGAAAACCCGCTAAATATAATAAAATTGTTATTTTTAAACGAAGTACCTTTTAAACAAAAAAATTAACGTCGGGAAGCATCTCGAGTTAAACCATTAAATTACTTTAATGGGAATTTAAACTGTAAGTATTTAAATGTTTAACGACACTTACAATTTCATCGCAACGTCGTCGTAAACAAAACTGAAATTACCAAGTAAAGAGTTTTTTTTAAGTCGAGTCCATAGAACAAATTTTTTAAGAAAAAAATTTTTAAATCTTATAATAATGAAACTACTGTATGTATTCATACTGTAGTTATAACAATGTGTACGGATATTAAACTGTAAATGAAGCGTAGCTAGTAGACAAACGTAATTTAGTACTTATTTTCCTACAATATATAGAATGTATAATATTTGTAGAGTGAATACGGTCAAAGGGCTAGTACTACGATGCCTTTGACGTACTGCAATGAAGTACGGTTCGTGATGTGATGAAACATATGTTTTGAATGTCCAACCGTAGCAATAACTATATTACTCATAGGTTTACGTAGTCAATAATTACGAAACATGTTCCAAGAGACTCTCACAACACAAAGTATACAGTTTACCTTTATAATGTTTTTTGCTCTCGTACCGGTGTAATTTTCATTTTCAGAGGCCGCAATTTGCCAACTCTTTAAATCAGCTGGCGAATGAAGTTCTTTAAAGAGCCATGATGCATAAACTTACTTTGCAAAAGTTGATTGCGCTTGCGTAAAAAATACGTGGCAATTATAATTGGATTCACGTTTCCAAATTAAAAAGGTCTGATTTTATGTGAAAATACATGGTTACAGCTTTGAGTGGGTGCTTTGTGGTGTGGGGACCTTTGTACGAAATTACATTTTTTGATGCGCCAGCCAGCTGTTTCCGTGTTTGTTTAAAAACGGAATAGTCATATAGCGTTTGCTTTTCATAGTCTTTTGTTCTGTAGATTTCAAACGCATGATAGAGGTTGGAAAAATAATTAAAAAATTAGAAAATAGCAACAATGCAATGTTTAAATTATGAACACTCTCAGTTATTAAAATGCTGCGGCATAAAAGAAATCAACAATTTAGTAAAATTGTTATATCAAATAATTGCTATAATAAATGTAATTTTCAACAAATATTTTTAACAACTTTTGCCTCTTTATCTTTATATTGCGTAATAAAATTTAACTCTTATATTATTTGAGTTTCTTCCAATTTTAGAGTTATAAATGTAGATACGTATCGTCAATTATATTTTCATTATATTATGGTGAGCTACGAATATGTATTACAATATGTATATCTCATACATCTTATCATATAAGACAGCACAATGAGACAAATTTTGGATGATAGCCAAATCATTTGAACTGTGGACAGGAACTTATGATCTCAAAATGAGTTACAACAAGAAGAATCAATAAACAATAATCATTCGACACCTAATTGATTTATCAAACGATATGATGTTATATCTGCCAAGTGTACAGCAAAATAGATAGTTTGAAATTAACTAACGACTCTGTGTTTGTTCTTTATAATTTATAAGAAAAATAATTTAATTAAACTTCTTGTTTTACTTATTAGATAGAAAAGTTACTCCGATCCGAGGTTTACAAGTTTATTTATATTTTTAATATCTGAAGTTAAGTTCGAGATTAATCTCGGCGTGTACTTGGGAGTATTGTTGGCCAATGTTTTAAGTAACAATAGTTACAATTTTACTCTACTGAACATTCCTTGTAAGTACTTCGCCTTTTTCGATACATATTTTTGTATGGATATAAAGGATGTATGACTAGGTTATACGTTTTCAATCATGTTTATTGACATGTTACTGGAGGCAAAAACACATTAGTGTGCACTTTGCAGTGACAAATTGAAGTCACGTTAGTACGTGATATATGGCTTTGCCTAATGACGCTGAAATTGTAGAGCTTTACAATTGTCCAATTTAAAATCTAACTAGCTGTTGTCCGCGACTCCGTCCGAGCGGAAATAAAAGAAACTTAATAAGTAGCCTATGTGTTCTTCCATATTGTGTTCTACATATATTTCAGCAAGATCCATGGGACCGTTCTGGTGTTACCTTTAAACAAACATCTATTCATCTAAAGCTAGTAATTGCAAACACATCTAATAATAAAACATTCTTCTTTGCTTTACAACATATTAATTTCAGTTATATCACAAATGCGAATGTTTAAATGGTCATTTATATCCAGAACGGCTAAACAGATTTCGGTGAAATTTGGCACAGATGTAGTCTGGAAACGAATAGGCTACTAATTAAGTTTTTTTACATAACACGCGGGCAGTCGCGGATGACACCTAGTACTAAAATTAAATGTTAGTTAACACCATTACAACACAATAACAATTATATTGCTTACTGTTGCGTTTCGGAATGTATTGAAACGTAGTAAACCGTGGTATTTTAAATCAATTTTCCTTCTTACAGAGTTATAAAGTTACAGAATTGTCAATTGTTCCATTATCCAAGAACAATAGCTGAAGATGTTAAGAAGTTAATTTATAATGAGTCTGACTTGGTAATTATAATTCAAACGTAAAAGGATCAGGAAGAGTACGCGACTTCCTCCCAGAGAACAAAACGTCCTCTACTCGTACAACGGACAATGTTAACTCAAGTGGGACGTGCTCGGAAATTAAACGATATTCAATTAAATGTTGAATGCTATTTAATTATTACTAACAGTAGCAGTCTTAACTGAAATTAAACTTGTAAGTTAAACGATGTTTTTTTTAGTTAAATGTTATTTAAGTTTAGATTAGAGCAACAGAAGAGCTGATTTGTTTTAGTGTACCA